AGGCCAGCAGTGGCCCCGACTGCCTGTCGGGTACCTGGCGCTGCTGTCCATCATCAAGGCATGACTCACTGAGCCCGCCAAACGCCGGCGGCCGCATCTGTGCCCCGTTCACTCCATGGAGCGGGACCGGCAGTGGGGAGCTGGCAGCCTTCGGGCCCTCGGCCAGGTTCACGGTTCAGACGGCCGCCCCAGCTCCTTGTGCACGAGCGTCTGTCTGCGAGACGCCCACAGAGGCCAAGAGGACGCCGCTGGTCCGATGGCTGATTCCTGGGGGAGGTGTGGCCCAGACCAGCGACGGTCAGTCCCCCTGAAGTCAGGAGCAGTCCTGTCCTGGCACAAGCCTGGGTCAACAGGGAGCGTCCACGGCCTGCAACAGCTGTCCGGGAGGCCTCAGCCCCAACCACTGCTCCAGGGGTGTGGACAGGGCCTCCACACAGCCTGCCCAGACCAGCTCCTCACGGCCCCTAACCCTGCACTTCCAGGGTCCCAGGCTGCCCCTCGCCGGGGCCTACGGTCACCCGACCCCTCTCCAGTGGCTCCGCTGCACTACCGAGCCCACCCTCTCGCCTCGGCGTGGGCAACCTCGCGGCCGCACTCGCTGTCCTGCCTCGGGCTCACTCCTGCAAACCTTGTGCACACGGAGCTGGAGGGATCGTGCAAATCGGGAATCCAGCTGAGGCCCCTCAGGGCTGCCAGGCTCCCCAGTGCCCTGAGAATCGGCCTTGGACCCTCGGCGCAGCCCCTGACACACCCGTCACCTTCAGCCTCACCTCTCGGTGGCCCGGCCTCGCGTCCTCCGACCTGCTCATGCCGGGCCTCTGACATGACAGACTGCTCCCTCCAGGGCCCGGCTCCCCCCACAGCACTCACCGAGGACGACCCACTGCACTCAGCCCTGCTCTGAGTGCCAGCACGTCTCGCCCGGTGTCACCCAGGGCCTAGACCGGGAGGACACTTCCTTCCAGGGACACCACTTCCTTCCAGAAGCAAACGATAAATATCCGTCAATACTGCTGAGCGGGCCACGAGCCACGTCTCTGCCAGGGACAGAACCATGAGGGGTCTTCAAAAACGGCACGGAGGCGGCTGGCAGCTGGCATGACGGTTAAGGCGCTGGACTCCCGCGTGGCTGACTGCGATTCGAGTCCTGGACCTAGCAGCTCGCTTTCTCACTCGCTGTCCTGCCTCGGGCTCACTCCTGCAAACCTTGTGCACACGGAGCTGGAGGGATCGTGCAAATCGGGAATCCAGCTGAGGCCCCTCAGGGCTGCCAGGCTCCCCAGTGCCCTGAGAATCGGCCTTGGACCCTCGGCGCAGCCCCTGACACACCCGTCACCTTCAGCCTCACCTCTCGGTGGCCCGGCCTCGCGTCCTCCGACCTGCTCATGCCGGGCCTCTGACATGACAGACTGCTCCCTCCAGGGCCCGGCTCCCCCCACAGCACTCACCGAGGACGACCCACTGCACTCAGCCCTGCTCTGAGTGCCAGCACGTCTCGCCCGGTGTCACCCAGGGCCTAGACCGGGAGGACACTTCCTTCCAGGGACACCACTTCCTTCCAGAAGCAAACGATAAATATCCGTCAATACTGCTGAGCGGGCCACGAGCCACGTCTCTGCCAGGGACAGAACCATGAGGGGTCTTCAAAAACGGCACGGAGGCGGCTGGCAGCTGGCATGACGGTGAAGGCGCTGGACTCCCGCGTGGCTGACTGCGATTCGAGTCCTGGACCTAGCAGCTCGCTTTCTCACTTTCCCCCTCTCTCTCCGGTCAAATTAAAAAATAATAACAAAATGTAAAAGTAAATAAATAAAAGGCACAGAGGGCAGCTCCGTGAAGCACAAGAAGGCGGGTCCCACGTGGTAACTGCGGTTCAAATCCCCAGCCCGGCTGGGTGAGCGCCCAGTATCTGACCCGACGGACTGGAGGACTGGAGGTGGGGAGGGGAACATGACCAGACGCTGCGGTGGGTGATCCCCTCTCTCTCGTCAACAGGTGCACTTCACAATGAGTCAAGGAAAAAACGTCTAAAAGAAGCCAGAGCCAGCCAGTGGCAGGGTGGTTAAGGCAGCTGGATCCCACATGGCCAACTACGTGGTTCCAGTCCCACATCCGGAGACTGAAAATCACACCAGGTGTGTATACATGCATGACCGGAATCCTGAGAGAGGCGACTCTGACGTGGCCGGGCCCAGGGAGGGTTCTCACTGTCTCCCTCTCTGTCTCTTGTCTCTCTCCAACACACACATACACATGAGCCATAGCAAAGCCTTAAACGCAAAAACAACAAACTTCACAAAATAAGAAATGACAGGGAGGACCGGGAAAATGAAGGTCCGATGAAGATACAATGAAACAGGGGGAAAAAATAAAGAAGTCAAAGGCCGTTCAAAGTCACAGCCCAGGACCAGCAGATGGCATAATGGTTAGGTTGCTGGACTTCCACATGGTCGACTACGGTTTGAATCCTGGACCCAGTGGCTTAAAAGTCACCCCGGGCGCGTGTGCGTGCGTGCCCAAGATCCCGAGAGGAGAATGGAGGAGAAGGGATTGCGACGTGGCCATCCCCCCTGGAGGTGATTTCTCCCTTTCTGTCTCTCTGTCTCTGTGTGTCTCTCTGGCAAAAATCTCTCTAAAAACAAAAGAAAAGCATCCATCTGACCTAGCCGTGACTCTGGCCATCTCCTTGGGTGACGCAGAGCCTGGACACAGGGAGGGTGCAGGAAGCCCTGGGTCCCGACCAGCCTGGCTGTCACTGTCAAGGAAGCCCAAGGCACTTCCTGGTCTGGGACATCCAGATCCATCTGCAGCCCAGGAGCAGGGCTTGGGTTCGGCTCAACGACCAAAGGTGGAGTGCGCCCTCAGGAGGGTGCAGCAGGTGCCAGCAAAGACGGGAACACGCATTCTGTCCTCCCGGCGGAGTCTCCTGGCTGGAATCGGTCCCTCGCTTACGCACTTAGTGGACACCCGCTGTGTCCTCGCAGGCGCCGGGAAGCCAGAGCCCACAGAACAGAACCACGTCTATGGGTGGAGGGGGCAGGCGAGTGACAGGGACGCCACAGGGGAGGATGGGGCCCAAGGCCAGGGAGCACGTGGCAAAGACCCTGTAACTTCGGCCGCAGCCAGGGGACTCCCTAGGAGGGGTGATGGGGGGCTCTGGGGGGTCCCCAGGGACACAGGCTCATGTCACCAGTCAAGGGCACAGAGATGGGCCACACAGAAGCCGATCATTCGGGGATGCTAGAAAACAGGGTAACGTGGGGGAGTGTCCAGCCTTTCATGCTGGTAAGTCACGCACGTTGTTTACAACGTGTGCAAAAGAAAGAAAAAGAAGAAAAAGTAAAGAGAAGAATCAAGAAAGCAGCTAATCAGCCAGTACTAAGAACACAGTTCAGAAAACCTATGAGGACCACAGGCAGGGCTGGAGAGGAGAGACGGAAACCTGGAAACTGCAACTTTTTGTTTCTGTTCAACTTGTTACAAAGTTGCGCCTGATCTAACCCATCCTCCTAAGCACACACAGTATCCTCTCAGGGCTGAGTACCCTAAGAGGTTCAGGGCTCTCTCAGACCAGCTCGCAGGCCCGGACAGCACCCCACAGAGTCTCGTCCAATGCAACGGACAGGCAACTGGTACGCACTCGTGGACACGGGTTTAGGTTTCGGCTACTAATTGAAGGCTTCAGGCTGTGAGCCTCACACCTCCCTCACGCCTCCGCCCGCATCTTCCAGGTGTTTAGAGCCTGGACACCATGCCACCACTACGTGACCCGGAGCAAGTGATGGCGCCACCCCTCACCCCCATGGCCTGCCAACCTCACTAGGAACACAAAGCTGGGGTGGGGAGCGGCAGCCTGCCGGGTGCACACCACTGCTGATGCCACTTCTGGGCCGCCGGTGGCTTGGCGGGTAAGGTAACTGGATCCCACACGGCCAACTGCAAGAATCCAGGTTCGAGTCCCATACCCAGTGGTTTGAGAAACACGCTGAGTACGTGTGCATGCCCACAACCCCTCAAGGAGGGAAATATGGAGAAGGGATTGCAGCGCGACCACCCCCCACGACGGGATGCTTCTTCACTGCCCCTGACTCCAGGGAGCACACATGCCCTCTGGTAAAATTTTTTTTCTTCAGTACCAGTAAGTGGGGTGGTGGTTAAGGTGCTGGACTCCCACGTGGCCGACCACGGTTCAGGTCCTGGACCTGGTGGCTTGCTTTCTCACTTTCGTGCTCTCTCTCTCTCTGGTCAAATAAATAAATAAAATAACCAATTCTAAAAAATAAAATTTTTTTTTCAAATCACCTCTTTTTTTGGACATCAGCTGGCATGGTGGTGAAGGCACTGGGCCCCCACATGGTCAACCACAGCTCAAGACCCAGATCTGGCTGCCTGAAAAGTCACGTGGGCGGTCTCACACGAGATGGCAAAGCCACGTGTGGGCTCAGGGCCAGCCACCGGTGGCTACAGGACACCCTCCTGCTTCAGTATCACCCCGTCCCTACCAGGGCCCGGCCCTGCACCCCACGTGGCAGCAGCTGTCCCCAGCCCGAGGCAGTCGGCTACCACCGTCCTTCAGTGCTCGGCCAGCACATCGAGACGAGGTTCGGCGTGGGCTGTCTGTTTTGCTTGTAGGGCACGTGCACTTGCCAGAGCGAGCGAGCGTGCGAGTGGAGAGTGAGAAAGCGCCCGGAGGATGGCTGCACCACCACCTCCTTCATCTCCCTGGCATTTGGGCACGCGTGCACATGCACCGGGGAGATTTGAAAGCCACGGGTCGGGACTCGAACCACACAGCCAGCCATGTGGGATCCAGCGCCTTAGCCTCCATGCCACGCGAGGGCCCTGTGACATGCTGGGCTGTCGGTGGTGAGAAAGCCAGGCCTGGCTGCACCCCCGGAGCTCACTAACTCGGCCCCCGAGGCCCCGGCCACAGCCTTCGCTGGGTGGGAGGTCCCTCCTGCAGGAAATCACCTCTAAACACTGGGTGAGGGCCAGCAGGTGGCATGGTGGCTGAGTGCTGGACTCCCACAGGGCCAACCGCAATGCAGGCCCGGCTCACGTGCGTGTCCAGGGCCCCAGGAGGAGGGAGGAGAAGGGACTACAGCGCGGCCAACCCCTTCGGGGGTGGTGTCTCCCTTTCCCTTTCATGGGCGAAAACCTTGAAAAGTGAATGGGCACCCCCAGTGACAAGCAGGCCCCCAGGGCATTTCCTGCTCTCCATCATGGCCTCAGTCTCCCTTCCCGCCCACAGCCCACCGGGAACCTGGGTCCACTGAGGACGCAGGACAGGCAGTGACCCCTCCCTTACTGCTCGCTCGAGGTCCGGACGCGCGTCTGGTGCGGGGGGAGGGGGGAGGACATTCTGTCCACACCTGCGGCCCCGGGAGCACGGCCCTGCCCTGCAGCTCCGGGGGAAAGGTGCGCGGGGACGGGGCGGGGCCACTCACCGCGTCTGGGCTTGGGGAAGCTGTCATGCAGCCAGAAGACCACCTTCTCCACGAAGTGCTGGATGTCGCACTGCTCGGGGCCGCGGACGAACACCATCCAGTCGTGGGTGAAGCCCTCCGTGGTGGGCTTCTTGCGCAGCTGGGCGCGGTGTCCCAGCTCTAACTTGACCTGGACGGTGCACTGGGGGAGAGAGGAGGGACAGGGTCAGCACCAAGGCCTGGTCCCGGCTGCCCGAGCCCCTCACCTGCGCAGCTCCTCGACACTGGCCACGCTGACTGTGGCACGTCAAGTGCGGGGCCTTGTGGGGTGCTCCCCCGCCCCCCTGCAGTCTCCTCTCTGGTCCTCTCATGGCCCAGATCATCCCTGCCTCCGTTCCCTGTCCAGCGGAGGGACGCTCTCCCTGGACGTCCCACGCTGCTCCCTGGGGCCGAGTTCTCGCTCGCCTGTCGCCTCCACAGGGAAGCCTGCCCTGACCGCCCCATCGGGAAGCACCCCTCCCCATCACTCTTACATCACACATTCTAGCATCTCCCGCCATCAGAGACCATCTTGCTGACTGCCGTTCACACACACCACTGAGGGGGCTCCCTGTCTGGAGCTGGAACCTCACCGAGCTCTTGCTGAATATGGCCGTGCGACCCTCAGGCTGAGGGGACGGAGACTGCGGAGCACATTCAAGGCGGGGTCTGTGGGGCCCCAAGCCCGGCTCAGTAACTGCTCTGCCATCACCCCGGCCGTGCCGCCCAAGTCCCCCACGTCCTGCCTGAGCTGCCCCCATGCAGCAGGCCTTCCACCAGCTGGTCTTCCGGTTCCCAGCGCGATGGGCAGCCCTGACCGTGGTGAGCTGGTGGTGAGCACGCAGCCCCCCCCCCCCGTGGCCGCGCCCCGGGCCCCCCCAGCG